AATAGTCTCTGAAAAATCCAAGTCAGTGGTTTTCTTGGGTAGTATGAAGTCTACGAACCTACTATGTTCTGTAGTTCCAAGTTTTCTCAATAGTAGACGTACCTTTTTTTTTTTTTACTGGGCCATTGTTCACAGTCTACGGTGAAAATATCTTCGTAGCGCCTGTAAAAAGCCTCGAATGTTTTGTTGTTCTCTGGTACGTATTCAAAGGTTTCTTTTGAATTGTTGATTGTACTCCGGGAGAATATTGTATCTTTTTCAGAGTTTGAGCCTTTTAATGAATTTACGAGTAATTCTTTAAGTTGTTTCTGCTGTAGTTCACCATTCTGAAGCGTAATTTGTTGGAATTCTATTTGTTGTTTATGCAATTCCAAAAATGGTTGTTGTTGTCTTTCTTCTGATTTTTGTTGCTGATCCAAATTTACTTTTAGCATTTGGGAAATTGCTTTTTGAAAATCTTCCATATTTAGACAAACAAAAATGACAGCGATTTTTTGCCGCTTTGAAACCCGTGTACCAAGGGGAGGTACACAAAAAAATCTTGATAGGTTTTTTTTTCTTTTACACACACAAAAAATATATGGACAGACAATTAGTTAAACTAAACTAATTATGTGTTTAGCTTTTTGCGATTCCGTGGTTCCGTTAATTTTAACGTAATTGTATAAATTATCACCACACTTATGTATTTTTTTTTTTTTTTTTTTTTATAGAGGTATAAAAAAGAGAAAACTCGCCTCAGTGAATTTGAGGGGAGAATAATTTTATGCACGAGTTCAACTGAGTTATATAAAAAAAAAAATTAGATTTTGAGTCGTAAATTGTACTTCGGCTCTTGTGTTGTCAGTTTGTTTTATGAACAAACTGTTTTTTTCTGTGTGTGGGTGTGTAAGAAATCGTTCTCGTAATGTTATTTGGACAGACGTTAATATTCCGTAGATGTCGAATCGCTAGTTCGTCACTGCTGTTTGGTATCGGAATATTTTTTTTATTATTATATGTAGACGCTGGGTGTTGCGTTTAAATCGCTAATGTAGTAATACCAGCTTAATTTCTCTTTCAACACTACTCTGGCAACGCGTTGAGTTTCTGTGTATTTTTCGAGTACTCGCTATTGATATGGTGAGAACGAAATTCTCGAATCTTTCTGTCGCCACTGATGTGGGACTGGCAAGGTATTGCGGTTTTCGACGTGAATGCGTTTCTCGAATTCTTCGTCGACACAGATGTGCGACTGGTAAGGTATTCAGGTTTCGGCGTGAGTGCGTTTCTCGAATTCTTCGTCGCCATTGATGTGGGCCCAAAGTTGGGACCATGGAAGAAAAACACGGAACACGGATTAGAGGTAAGAAAGATATATTAAACAAGAAGGTTACAAAGATAGTAAGCTCCTCTTGCACTTACACTATGTGCTAGTGTCCAATATTGGAAGTCGTACGCGACTGATACTACGGTATTAGAATACTCCCTCTCTCTCCCTCCTCCTCCTCTTCTTCTTCTCTCTCTCTTAGAGTGTTATGTCGCATACTTTATATAGTCCTGAAGAGTCCATGTTTGTAGGTATGTTACGGTCTCTACAATAATATATATATATATATATATATATATATATATATATATATATATATATATATATATATATATATATGTGTGTGTGTGTGTGTGTGTGTCGTCTCTGTGTGAATTGAGAGAAAGAGGTGATATTATAGATCTATATCATTTGTAAGTGATAAATGTTATTAAGGATAAGATTTTATTACTTTTATATGTTAGAACGTTTATACATTTGTTTTCATTCTCTCCAAAACATCGTCGTTGCTCCCATGTTCGGGCAATGGTATCCTTACTATCCTTCTGTAGAACCACATTCCTGTTGCTTCAAGTCTCTACTTCATCTTCACACATATTTTTGACGGGCCGAAATTAACGAAGTGAGGAAGTGAGGGGGGGAAAGAGAAGACATGAGTGAGTTAGCAGACACTGACACATTTAAACGGTTAACTTAACAGAAGTTATATATTGATATCGAAGGGGTAGAGGTAAAAAACCCATAGAGAGAAAAAGAGAGAAGGAAGTTATGAGAGAAGGTGTCACTAATTTTCTTTGTAAAAAAAAAAAATGCTAGAAACAGACGCTGTTATTTTGCTTTACTTTGAAAGTGTTATTTTGGGGGTTCATAAAGATTATCATGTTTGATATAAATTTGAATGACTCTAAACAGTCTACAAATAATTTAATTTGATGTTTGTTAGTGATTTAATTTTTTTTTTAAATTTTGGGGATTTTTCTTATGTACATTAAAATAGTCGATTAGAAAAAATTCTTAGTAATCTTTTTTTTAGAAAGTACATTAAAGAATAAAATTTTATTTATTATAAATATATATATTTTACTTTAGTAATATATTTTTAATCTCTTTTAAAAAATTTATTACTGATTATATATATTATATATATATAAATATATATATATATATATATAATAATATATATATATAATATATATATATAATATATATAATATATATATATATATAATATATATATATATATATATATATAATATATATATATATATATATATATATATATATATATATATATATATATATATATATATATATATATATATATATATATATATATATATATATATAATATATATATATATATATATATATATATATTATATATAAATATAAAAAAATATATATGTTAATATATAAAAAACAATACAACATTTACATTAAAATTAATCAATGTTAACATTTATTAAAAAAAAAAGATATTATATTTTTTAGGTGTACATGTAACGATCAATTCGTTTCTCTTGTTTAATAAGCTAGAGTTATTTAAGTTTTACAAGATAACTAATTTTTCAAGAAGACATAAATTATATCTATTGCCTTTTCCGTTGTAAGATTTCGCACTTGCTATAATATGTCAGGTGATAACAGGTGTATTAGCACTATTCTTTAATTGTCGGAATTTTTTACAGACAGAAGTGATGCTTATGTTTTTTATTGCCTCATTCGATCAAGGCAGAAACGAAATTTCAATGGATTTTCAGTGGAAACAAAATAAATTTCTATATCGTTACCGGAAGATATGCTAGCCCCGTATACAATATTATCAGTCATACATTGCCCGTTTAATGAACAGATAATACTTTTCGTCATTTGCAGAAAAATATATCGTTGTCTTTCTAGTAAATATACTTATTTAATATAACATTTTTATGTTGGTATATAGATTTATCGATTAAACTAACGCGGCTCTATATATATGTTAAGGCATGTGTTGTGAAAAACTAAGGAAATTTTCCGTTTAATAATTTCTTTTCAGTTTTCGCTTGGTTTTTCGCAAGATTTATTTTTAATATTTGGTTCTAAGTTGTTGAAATACGAGCCTTGTGCATGGTGTTTTGCCGAGCGCTTTCGGTTATCGTCAACCGTCATCATAGCTTTACATTTTGGGTGTTTTTTGTACTTTTTTTCTCTGTCCCGTGGTTTTATGCTTATTTGATTTTAATTATTTTATCAATCAAAACTCTTTCGTCATTTCATTTTTAGACATTTTACCCTGAAGATCCGTTTAGGTGACACCTAGGCAGGTTTTCCTGTCTCTTTAGGAATTATTTTATATATATATATATATATATATATATATATATATATATAATGTGTGTGTTTGGTGAGAGAAAGAGGGCTGAGATTATAGATCTGTATCATTTGTAAGTGATAAATGATATCAAAGATAAGTGTTTTTATTAGAATTATATGTTAGAACGTTTATACTTTAGCATGATATCATTAAATCTTATGCAGTAAATGAGGATAGGTGAAAGAAATGTTGAGATATTTATGTTGCGAACCGTAACGACACGAAAGAGGATTATATCTGCAATAGATTGAATGCTGCTCAGTCGCGTCAAAAGACTCTTCCTTCATAGAAACATCTGAAAGGAATTAATAGCCATGATATATCAGGCAAGAGATATCCGTTCTCTTGATGTAAAACATGCTATCGGTATAATGGTATCTTCAAAACCTTGACAGATTCAATCAATCAAAGCTGTCGTCGTTCTTCAATAACAGAGTAGCGTGCCGTTCGAATAAACGTACCAATCAAATGGGTATTGAATCTACAATCAAATATAACCGACTTCTATGGACAGGGCATGGTTTCTAAATGAACAACGGAGAAACGCAAATCTTGAAAACCGGACAAAGAAATGGAAGAAAGACAAAAAGAGGCAAAAAAATAAAAGAAAGATTATTCATGAATCAACTCAAGACTGCCTCGCAACAATTTTATATTCCACTTGTGTATGGTGTAATGAAGTGGTTTGAAACTAAATAAAGATAAGATGAAGCAGTAAAAACGAAAAAAAAAAAACAAGTTGGACAAAAACAAACAAACGATCCGGCAACCCAAACATCACGACGCAATTTCCATGCAATATGTTACGAACAACATGGCGTCCAATGTCTAAACTCGGAAGCCAACTAAAAGAAATCCTGGACACCTTGCTGAAGAAAGTGGGCGATGACAAAGGAAAGAATAATAATTGTTTTATCGATTTTAAATAAATTTATCAAATTATCTCTAATTGTCTTTTCAAATAGTAACAAACCACATATTTAATGATTAAATATGAAAGTTTACGTTGTTGACCAAAACGATTTTACAATGGTTGGGAATTCTGTGTCTGAAAAATGATGTAAAAAAAAAAAAACAAAGCATTCGAATTATTTATATTTCTTACAGCTTATCAATTTCTTTTTTATCCAGAAAAATATTTTTTATATGGTAAGATTTTAAAAAAAAATAATTATTTACAGTTACCCTCTACGAATTTAGCATAGAAGGTGAGAGGAGGTGGATTCATAGCTTTTCCCTGGCTATTTGAGCTTATGTGAAGGTAACAAAGCCAACTAGAATTGGAACACAGCTCCATCAATTCCTAGCCGTTATCCATTACACCCCGCACATCCAAGTTTACAGCGACAGGTATTCCAAAGGGGTCATACATTTAGGTACTAAACAGGCTCAACCTTGTTTATCTTCGGTGGTCGTACGCAAACCGGTGTTTCAACGTGATGTTGTTGTGAGCTTAAAACACTGTAAATCAGTTATTCGTAAATTTATGTATATACTGATAATTTGAATTTAATGTATATTTAATATAATGTATTTAATATTTTATGTATTAATATTATTGTTGAAACTTGACTAATGTATGGAATAATAATACAACACAAAATGTACTTAGAACAAAATGTATTGAAACAAGAAAGTGTACACAATATTTACATATAGTCTTTTGTATATTCTTGGGAAGACCGTTCCTGGAGAATGTGTTGAGTCTCTGGATTGAATCTCTTGATTCCTCCCCTCGTCTTCCCGGTACCAACCATATTTATATGGTCAGTACTGCACGATGCAAATTAGGTGGATCCTACCACAACAATTATGTTTTTAATATTCAATGTATATTTAATATAATATTTACGTATATACTGATAATATGAATAATTTGGGAGAATATAACTGTTACCGGTTTGCAGGTTATGTGGTTAATAAAAATGTATATTTATTAACTTACTTATAAATAATCTATGAAGAGAAATTATTAGTTTTAAATTTGTTATTTTTTAAGTCATTAATCTCGAATTTTTTACATATGTTTCATTTTTGATGCAACGGATTTTAAGTCAACAATTGCCAGTTCAATGCGTTAAGAAATTTTAAATGTTTGCTTTATTATGAAATGGACAATTATTTTAATATATTTTTTGCTTATAGGTTATGTTTATAGATACAAATATTTAAGTAAGTGCTCTTATTATAATAAACAACATTGACATTTACCGTCCTGAATGTCGAAGGTCACATATTTTCTAAGAAATTTGTCGGACATGTGTGGTGTGAATATTATTTTTATTATAAAAAGAGAAATGTTCTTATATATATATATATATATATATATATATATATATATATAAAACAAATGTGTTTTATCTAAAAATAAACCGGAATTTATATTAGAAATGAATCTGAATCAGCGTATTGAAGTAGAAATACCTAGATGTAAGCAGGAAATAATTTCTTTTGTTTAATACGCTGGACTTATTTAAGTGTTTCAAGATTTTTTCAACAGGTTACATCTATTGTTTTTTTCCGAAGACTGTTTAAAAATAATATATTTATATATATATATATATATATATATATAATAATGTTAATGTTAACGTAACTATTTTTACAATATTAAAAAGTACGATCGGTCGGGTAAATAAACTGTTATAGTTTAAAATATTTTTTAATATGTTCTCTATAAATGTGTTAATAAACATAGTATTTAACTTGTATTAAATTCCTAAACTATTTGTTTTAAAAAAATTAAATATTTAAATTGATAGCAAACATCAGATTAATTTATTCGTTTTTTTAGACGTCTAAATTACTATCAAGCATTAAAATCTATTCTTTACATAAATTCCTAAAACCCAATTACAGCCTCATTCCTCCTTTCTCCTCTCACATTTTAATATATCACTTCCGTTAATTTAACCGTCTAAATAAGTCAAGGTCTGGTCACACCTCCTCCCCCAATGCAATGTATGCTTGAGAGAGATATGAAATTAATCTCTCCCTATAGTCTACCATGTTTCTTTAACTAATCTTTTTACACTCTCTGTTAAATTACAAAAATTTACACTACCCATCAATTTTAATTTCATTTTTCGTTTCATTTCATTTTTGGAAGTGCTATCTGATGATCCGGCTTCCTTTCAAAGGGCTCTGGTGAAATAAATTATTATAATGGTACCTTAACGTGGTCTGTTTTTCTTTTAAATATTAGCTCTAGATTTACATTGACCTCTCAGCGTTGGGATTACCCATACGGATTACCAAGTTCTTCATAACTATATATATATATATATATATATATATATATATATATATATATACACACGTGTGTGTCTGGTGTGTGTGTGCGTAATTGCAAAAATAGGTTGTTCAACGTAACCTCTAGAATTTCTGTGACCCCTTCTCCACATGTTATAGGACCGACATTTTCAGACACGTTTTGAAGACGAACCCATGTCTTGATCGAATATTATTGAAATATGGAAGCTTCATGGTAAGATTATTTGATACCCCTATATGCATTTTTTGAAGTGTTGTTCAGCTTATACAAGGCTCTGAAATCACACTATATGGTGCGAGATACTGGCTAACCCTAGACTTGAACAGGTAAAGAATTTAATGATTGATATATATATATACATATATATATAGTTAAATATAACAGATAATGAATGTCTATTATGTTTAATCATGAGCCGTTCTAAATTTTGCTTAAATTTCGGACAAATTGTCCAACATTTGGATATTGTATATTAATGTGGTCCTTGAGCAAATGTTTTGGTTCCCATGAGCCATCTTTAAATTACTTTAAGGACATATACTGAATGCAACTAGTTTAATTTTTTTTATTAATGTCAATGGTTTAAAATATTTAAACTGCAATTATTTCGAAAAAATACTTTCTTATTTATAATTTGAGCCTCCCAAACATTTGATCTTTATAGATATTTTCAATATTGTTGCTATACTCATAAATAATTAAATTTAGTGTTGGTTTCATTTTTTATCTAAATCCCTTTGAGACGAATATGAAGTGTTCGTTTTCTATTTTCATGGTGGAGTATACTTGTATTGTCGATTAATATTTTTCTAAAACGTGAATGTGGACAGAAATGTTCTTCCAAATTTTGTGCAATAGAACTTGAGTACGGCATTTTGGTTGTATTAAATTTAGTATAAAATTTGTTTTATTTTTTCCTTGGATTAGTGCGGGATATATTAGTAATTTTTAGGATTTTTAGATTTTGTTTGTAGTCAGATCTATTTGTTTTCTGTGTAGTAGATTTATATATTTAGGGTTATTTGAGGAACTATTATGTTCCTTCTTGTTTATATTAATATCAATAGCTCGTCTAATTTCTTCATCAACAATGTAATTAAGAAAGTCATTATTAATGGCAGTTGATTTAATATATATATAATGCTCTACCATTGTCTATTTCTGAAGTAGACATTATCGGCGATATACTGAGTTTAATCACAGGATGATGAGGGCTGTCAGTTTCACGTTACCAGATTATATCTCAATACTCCTTTAGCCATGTTTCTATTGTAGTTCAATGCCAGATTCTTCCACTGACCACGTCGAACATCCTGCAGCCGGTGTGTTCACGGTAATCCAGCCTGTGGTGACTTTAAATAGCAGTGTTGATAAGCTGTTAAAAATTCAATAAATCAACCTAAACTGATTGCCAACCACGATTTCAGAGCCCAATATATATTGTTATCTAACCTATAGATGGGTAGAGAAGAGTTATTTATATATCTTTCTCAAGTAAAAGTCAAGTTCCGGTAACCCAGTGCAACGAACTTAAAGTGGAATTCTAGCACGGTCCTTAGATTTCTCGTCCCCTCACGCTAACCATTAACCAACGCATACAGCCAAAAATAAATAAAATAAAATAAACAAAAAAAAGCAAAGAAATAAAAAGAAATAAAGAATTAAAAAAAAACAAATATAAAATTAATCGGGTTTCACTGAAGTAATTACGAATATTTAAAAAGCTACAATGATATAATTTTCTCTATAAACTTTATTTCTTTAAAAAGTCGTTAATTTAGTTTAAATTAATGTATTTGTAATTTTAAATCGACTATTTCAATTATTCAAAATGTGACTAGTGAATGAAACAATTGTATATACAACATGAGTCCAGACAAAATAAAGGTTTTATAGGCTTTTTTTAAAGACGGCGATCTTTAGTGTTAATTTGGCGCAATAAATCTTCGTTCGTCTACTTCTCTGTATTATTTCCTTGTCTCCTACTTGACTAAGTTTGGTAAATAATAGTAAATACGTTTTGTTTATAGAAGACAATTATCGGAGTATATTTTCATTATTCGAATGTGGTAAAATCAATGTTCATTTACTTGTGTAAATCAAATTACGAAAAGAAGTTAATCTGAAGAATAACGACTGATCAAATAGAAGATAAAAATTAAAACATTCACTTAAAAACTTGTTCGTAAAATTTTTAAGTGAGAATATCTTTATGGAAATATTGAATGGAGTCCATCAAATTTGTTGTAAATCTCTTCCTGTTTATGATTTTTCTTTATAATTATTTGAAAATAAGAAAGAGAAAGAAGAGTTTGTCTATAATTAAAACTAAAAAAAGTAAAATTTGAAAAAAAATTATTCTTATATGAAATATTTTTTAAAAATATTCCCTCATAATATGAGGTGCTATTATTTACTGGTATGATTAAGCTTTATTGTCCTTTTTTTCAACGTTGATAAAAATAGAATTTTCAGCTTCCTTTAATATTCACACAGAGATACAAAAATCGGATCATTAATACAGGTTAAGAAGGATCGCAATCTTTCTGCTCAATCTTTATCGATTTTAGAATTCCACCTGATGTTATTTGAAGTTACAGCACTTATATGACATTGCTACAAAAGTGTTGAGTCACGATATAGTATTCTTCATGCAAAATACGTTCACACAAAGAAATAATGACAAAACTTTGAAATGGTAACCTGATGTAGAATGATAGTTCGCTTGCCTTACTCTCACTTTCTACAACTTGCGTTCTCAAGTTTAAGCAAACCTTTTGCTCCTGTGCAACACAATGTTAAAATAAGTTTACTGGATTGTCCTTATTTAAAAAAAAAAAAAAAAATCATTTCACGCCGACAAAAACAACTCAACCAGCAAGATGCAGGGTGTACCGAAAGAACGTTTATCAGATAAAGCAAAATAAAATCATTTTTTTGTGCATCGAGAACAATAAAAGAACAGAAACTAAGTAGACAGAATTAAACATTTGATACTTGACTAGAGAGAGAGAGAGAGAGAGAGAGAGAGTGTGTGAGTTCCACAAGCGATACATGCGAGAAATGAAACTTTTTGTATATAACTTGTTGATACATCTAGACATTGCAACTGCAAAATGATCGGACCATGCAGCCAATCTAGTAATATACGTAAATGTCATA